GCCGCCATTTTGAAAATTCGTAAATGTTGGGATACTTTGACCTCCTGACCTAAGATTTGACCTTGAAATTGACCTTGTGGATCACGTGACCTTGACAACATTTTTCATGAAATGTAATCTCTGACATGTTCACTTAAACATATAAAAGTTTCAGAGATATAATATTTTTGGTTTAGGAGCAATAATGATTGAAAGTATTCATACTTACAGATATTCACAATAAACCCTATTATAATGTATACAATACATGCAATATGCACAGTACAACATACATCTTCCACATGCTTTTTTGTCCTAGGCATATCCATTCTAAATGTCAGCGGTACTTTAATAGAAATAAAATGACAAGTTCATATAGGCCTAAAGGGTTAACAGGATGTATGGCTTTAGGCCTCTGAGTCAGTTTTAGGATAATTACCCCCCTGGAAATGTTCCCCCCCCCCCAGGACAATTACCCCCCGAGGACTATCACACCCAGAGGACAATTACCCCCCAGAAAATTACCTCTTAGGACAATCTGTCCCCCCCCCTCCGAGGACAATTACCCCCCCCCCCCCCCCCCCGGACAATTACACCCTCGGACAATTACCCCCCGGACAATTACCCCCTAGGACAACTACCCCCCCTGTATTAGTTGAAGGGGAAGTTTATCCTGATAATAAGTTGGTTTTAATCAAAGCAGATTTTTTTTTGGGAGGTAATTATCCTTGAGTAATTTTCCAGGGGGGGGGGGGGGATGGGATAATTCTCTGGGGGGTAATTGTCCTGGGTGGGACAAATTGTCCTAGGAAGTTATTTTCTGGGGGGTAATTGTCCTCTGGGTGTGATAGTCCTCGGGGGTAATTGTTTTCGGGGGGGGGGGGACATTTCCTGGGGGTTTATTTTCTAGGGGGGTAGTTATCCTAGAACAGACTCAGAGGCCTAAAGCCATACATCCTGTTAACCCTTTAGGCCTATATGAACTTGTCATTTTATTTCTATTTAAGTACTGCTGACATTTAGAATGGATATGACTAGAACAAAAAAGCATGTGGAAGATGTATGTTGTACTGTGCATATTGCATGTATTGTATACATTATAATAGGGTTTATTGTGAATATCTGTAAGTATGGATACTTTCAATCCTTATTGCTCCTAAACCAAAAATATTATATCTCTGAAACTTTTATATGTTTTAGTGAACATGTCAGAGATCACATTTCATGAAAAATGTTGTCAAGGTCACGTGATCCACAAGGTCAATTTCAAGGTCAAATCTTAGGTCAAGAGGTCAAAGTACCCCAACATGTACAAATTTTCGAAATGGTGGCAGATTTGGAATCCTTATTGAATACCCTTTCCAACAATATAAATTTTGTAAAGATTGACCCATTAGGTCCCGAGATACAAGGGTTCAAAGGTAGGCCCGCCACCCCCATTTTTGAAAAAATCTCAAAATTTGGTGGGCCGTATCTCCCAAGCCCCTCACCCAATTGACCTAAAAATTTGGGATTTGGTGCTGTGAGATCACACTCAACAAGTACACTAAGTTTCATCAAAATCAAAAATGGTTGGGTTAAGATTTTCAGATTTTTTGGGTGGTTTGACATGGAATGACCCGTTGGTAGTCTTAAGTCAAATATATTCAAAAGTGAAAATTCAAATACTTTAGACTTTTTTTTATAAATTCCACATCAAGAACATGAAATCTCCTTGATAAAGATGATAATAGAAAATATGAATGGTTTGAATCCACATTTTATGCCTTTTTACAATAACTTTTACAAAATATTTTCATAGATGCTTATTTCCATAATTTTTAAGTCCAACTTAGAGATAAGTTCAACTTAGGATCTTTGTGAAGCACTCCCCTGATAACTGTTTTACAGCTTATGGAGAATTAATTTGCTTTTCTGCCAGTGTGCCTACCTGTATCCCTTCTTAGCTTTTATTTGCCAAATGAGTTGGAGTTGAAAAACAAGGCTAAATGTCTGTACAAAGATTTGTGAAGCAAAACAAATTGCTATTCAGGGCAAAAGTTCATATTTTGTAATTTGGTTCTGTAACATTAGATAAATATGATTTGGAGTACCGTAATATTATGTACATTAGGAGAAGGAACAAAAATGGCTGAGTTTTAAACAACAAGGAGCTAAAATCTGTGTTTCATATCATTTGCATTTTTGTCATTGTATAATAATAATAATAATGGTGGCTTCTTATATAGCAAATATAATGGTAAATGTTTTTTAGTATTGGTCAGAGTCATGAATTTGACAGATGATAGCCTTTTCTATCTCTCAGATTTTGTTCAGTCACTGTATGTTATACAACGGGGCCAGTTTCTCAAAACCATCATGAGTCTAAGTTCATGGACATCCCATAGAAATGCTTTTTGGTATAAGAATTTGCGCCAATTTTTGCAAAACCTGACAGCACACATGGTCGCCACCAACACAAATTGTTGCCAGTCGCTGAATATGTAGCAGAAGAGGTATCAACGATGAGAAATATGAGTCATGACTGGGTGGGGTCGGTGGGGAGGGGGGGGGGGGGGGGGGTGAGAGGGGGAGTGGGAGGAGATACCCCTCTCCAAATATGAGGTGGGGTTAGGAGATGATCTGAAATATTATCCCCCTACATTTATAAGTTGATAACAATGATGATAGTAATACCACTGCTGTTGTCCACGCCGAACTAGGTTCTCAAGGGGACAAAGAGACGGATGTACGTGTGTGTGGGAGTGGGTATGTGTATATGTGTATATCCTTTGGGATGGGCATAGTACATGTGTGGGTGTGGGAGTAGATGTTTGTGTGTTGGTATGTGTGTTTTTATGTTAAATAATTGAAAATCTTGAGTAAATTTAATTACACAACCAATTTGGGGTCTGACCACAAATTTGTTGAACAGTGTCAAGATGGAATAGATTGCCAAAATATGTTAGTAAATATAATAGTATACGTTCAAAAAAATGAAATGAAATTTTGACATCAGCCATTATAGACTACATCAACCATTAAATCTGCATTTCAAAATCATCTATATATCAGCCGTAGAATATCTCTGAGCCAAGGGCGTTCTTATCTTGTGTATGTATGTATGTGCGGTTGGATAGACGGACAACTTGGAAACATACAGGCTTCCCAGCACACTTCAGGTTTTGAGACATAACCAGTAGTCAAGTTTCTTTGCTACAATATCAGTATTTCTTTCTTCTCCTTCTTCTTCTTCTTCTTCTTCTTCTTCTTCTTCCTCCTCATTATTATTATTTTCACCCTCATTAGTATTATCATCAACAACAACATCATAATAAAAGTATTTTGTGATCATAAAGGTCTTTATATACCTCACTTAAGAAATCCAGCCATCTGATTGGTCGAATTGCATTCATAAACTTCAACTGTTCCTGTAAAATTCCCGGTAACCATTCTTAAAACATTTCAATATTTTTAATAACCATGGTTATTAAAAATAGTTGGTCAGCCTCCATGGTTACCCCATAGGTTTACATGTTAAAAAATGGTTTGAGCGATGGAGGATGCCGTATGTGTGCGAAGGATTGGTCGGTAATTTCAATACAATTGAATCTCGATCGATCTTACCGACAATTTTATCTTGCATTGTTGACATGAAGACGAAAATAAACTTCCAAAAACAAAAAAACAACATCTGCCGATAGATCTTGATCTAAGTTCGTGCCAATATGCATTGCAAAAGTAAAAGAAGAGTCCGTATATGGAGCTTTTGCGAAGCATTCATCACACGCGAAGCCGGTTTCAATCCATTTTAATGTATATATTGGAGAAAACTGCCAAGCATGTTAACGGCGGGCCATAGCCGAGTGGTCTAAGCGTTGGTTTTCGGTACACCTCTTGTTGTACGCAAGAGTTCGAATCCCGTCTTCGACAAAAATGATAAATATTTTTAATTTTTCATTTTTTAGTCTATTTTTTTTCGGCATATAAAAGTATTAATGACTGCTTTAATATTCGAGAAATAGTTGTTTTCATACGCTCTCGGGAAGGTAACAATTGGGCTATTCCCCTCGGCAAGCCTCGGGGGAATAGCACAATTCTAACCTTCCCTTGAGCGTAATAAAACAACTATTTCTCTCAAAGCAGTCATTAATACTATACTATTTGAGTTCACGAAGATATCAAAAGTTCTCCATGACGGAAGTCACCGTCACATACACACATAAACCTACTTCCACACCCACACGACAAACACCCACCTAACACACATCCACACCCGAACCCCTTCACCTAGCCCCCTTGGCTGTCGACAATTTGTACCAGTGGCGACAATTTGTACTGTCAGGTTCTGCAAAAATTGGCACAATTATCGTGGCGACAATTTGTGCCACGTCAGATGTCCAAGAAGTTTGACTTGTGACAGTTTTGAGAAATGGCCGCCAAATGAAGTTTAGCTTGAAGTGTATCCATCATGTACATGAAAATATGAATTATGTATGAAATCAAATGTAATCTTTGTTTACCTTTCTGTTGGAAATGAAATAAATATGAATATGAATATGAATGTATTTGACTGTAAATAGATATTTTTAAAGTTTTTTAATTGGCTATCAAGTCTATGAGAAAGGTCAGAGTTTTATAGGTCATGGGTTAGTGGGTCAATATTATCTTTCTATGGGACTGATATGTTTTCAACTTTGAATAAGTAGTTCTATTTGAATTCTCTCTTTTTTGTCATATTAAATAGAAACAAATCCTGAGATATCATAAGTATGAATAGAAAATTTTCAGAAACAATTTGGTCCACAGGACATTTTTATTTAAGCAAGTTAGCAGAGATTATAGTGACAAATGACATTTAGTGCAAGTATTACAATAGAAAATCTGGGGGATTGTGTTTCTATACATTTACTCCCAAATATGTGAAAGTCAACTAAATCTGCTTACATCTTTGACTCTGACCAACTACTAAGTACAATAAGCAGTATCTTTAAAAACCAATGCTTTAAATGCCCTTTTTGCCTATTTCTTGCTTTTTACAGGTACACCAACATGCTGATGGGGATCGGCCATTTTGTAATGTGGACGTTTGTTCCTTTGGTAGCCCTGTTCGCTGGACATCGTGCTGGACACGGCCGGGGTTAATCTTCTTCTTACCACCATGCAGTATCAAGGGCAGTGATTTTCCGTTTGGGGTCATAGTAGATTCTGTTTTAAAGTGTTTGATACATATGAATATTATTCGGCCATACAGTGTACCGTAGATAATGTACACATCTAATTCTATTTTCATATGAAAGCTTTGAATCGAAAGGACCTTCGTATCTTTAAACTGAAATAGTGTAAAAAAAATTGATCCAATACCATCGGAAACGTTAAGTTAGCTGATATGGGAAAGGTGTGTATCACTCTTTGAGACTCACTAGAAATGAATTGAAAAGGATGTGACATTTTCTCTTCTTTTGAATATTTCTTGCAGATTTTGTTACAAGTACATTTCATATTACTATTTGAAAACATGTGTTTCGTTTCCAATGGCTGTTTCTATTAACTGCCCCTTTTCATGTGATTGCGGAAGATCATTTGCCCTACACCATTCAGAAATGCCATTGGTGTTGATTCTTGGTATTAGGCCATTTTCAAAATGTAATCAAGTTGAATGCATAAAACTTTGTCAAGTGCCACGTTACAAATCGTTTCGTTCACCTGTTACAAATAATTGTATTTCTATAGTCGGAATGCGAATTGCATACATTAATTGTTGCTAAGTAGGCAGGACAAACATAGTGGCTTGCCCTACTGAAATAACAAGGCGTAATTTATACAATTTGTCTTCTGACTATTGAAATACAATTATTTGTAAGAGGGGAATTAAATAATTTGTATCGGGCCACTGAAGTATAAATATGTTTATACATGTATTACGAGAATGGCTTATTTTTATTTGGTAACAACAGGGTTAACCTTAAGGCCTCGTTCATACATGAAACAGTAAGAAACTGCTTCAAAAAACTGCTATGGCGAAATAAAATCACATCGATGTATCTTTTAATATAAGCACCTGTATTTTTAGTATCAGATCAGTGACTATGCTTAGGAGACTTTAATGTTGCTTCTAGCGTTCATGTGTGCATACAATGGTTTTGTTTCATCTTGACGGTGTTTTTAGGTCAGTTTACTGCATCATATGTGACCTTTTAAAGACGACCTTAATGTACTGAATATTTGAAAATTCATGAGCACCAGACACACCACCATTCATTTTACTAGACATCCGTTCGATCTCTATGAATATTCATTTTACTAGACATCCGTTCGCTCTCTATGAATATTCATTTTACTAGACACCCGTTCGATCTCTATGAATATTTATTTTACTAGACATCTGTTTGATCTCTATGAATATTCATATTACTAGACACCTGTTTGATCTCTATGAATATTCATATTACTTGACACCTGTTTGATCTCTATGAATATTTATTTTACTAGACACCCGTTTGATTTCTATGAATATGCCCCCCAAAAATTATTTATTATCAGAAGTAATTAGTGCTTCAAAGAAAAAGATTCAGAGTATATGAAAGACAAGAAGGAAGTGTATTTGGAGAAAATAGGAGTAGATAATTCATTTTTTTCCTTCTGTTTCTTATGTTTATGCATGTCTTATAGTTCATGTCTTTATAGTACTTTGATGAATGTAGAACATATATATGGTTTACAACATATCATAGTACTGGTACATATATTGGGTGCAATAGTATATACATAATGCAAGTGAATGAGTTCATTATACAATATATCCACACTCATGTTGAGGCTGTAATGTATGCACCTATCGTATGAATCCATCAGGCTTTGTAGGACTGATGCATAAACAGCCTCAACGAGAGCTACATGTAATAGATCCTGTAATGAACAAATGCATAATTTTTTGTATACAATGAAAACTGTTGGGATAGTTCTTGAAACTGTTCCTCCCGTTTTCATTGAAAAAAAACGTGATAGCCTGAGTAAATGAATCAAACGTGATAATTATACCACTCACTCTCATATCCTAAGCTAATCCAGGATCTAGGAACAAAAAGTGATAGTTACAATTTGTTTAGGTCAGAAATGACAGATGGACACTGTGATCGGTTTCAGTTGTGGTTATGCAAGAATATACAATTCCAGTAGTTTGCATGAATTATGAAAAAAGAGACTTCTTGCTTGGTTTTCTTTTTATACTTTTACTACCTTTTATATTATTTTTACTTAGCATTCCTAGGTCTTCTTATTTTCTATGCAGTACTAGAATTCTTTAAATAAAATGCTTATCATGTTTTCATTGTATTTTTTTTTAGATACATGTCCATTAATTCAACTTTAATTTCAAATTTATTCATGTTTCCAACAAAACATTACAAAACAATTATAAGCATTTAAAACGAATGTAAGAAATACATGTTGGAAACAACCTGCTTATGAATATCTAACCATCAACATTTAGGAAAAAGGGTGGGTGAGAAATAGATATAAGTAAAAACATGGGCTTGGAATTTTAAGTGAAAGAAAGGCAGTAATAGGCCTATGAAATGAATGATTTTGAGTTTAATAAATTAGTACCGGTATATTATTATATTATATTATATGCTAGTTAAAAGTGTTAATTATTATTAGTATAAAATATCAAATGTGATATTACTGGTAAACGCCTTATAATTGGAAACGTAGCTGTCACTGCCATGAAGAGAGATATCTGTATGCTACATTGCTTTTAATATAGATAATAACCTGCTGCTGTACTAAGGATAATGCTACAGATCAGTTGCAGATTCAAGAAATGGAATTAAATTATTAAAAGAGATCATGATTCCAATGATAATTAATTACCTTCATGACAAGCAAAATACTTGATTCATAAGTGATATAAATATAATATACAAGTATACACAACTTACTAATGAGGTACTCCAGTATTTGAATTTGTAACCATGCAGCAATAAAATTATGACCCTCTACCTTTGAGAATTCCAATACTTTTGCTTGGACCCTCTTGTTATCAAGATAATGACACCAAAAGAATGGCCTTCATTTTGTTAGATTGGGATCTACAAGGAAGACATTTTAGACAAGGAATGCTAGAGCAGGAAAAGGGTGTTCAAGAGAAAATGAGCACACACAACTCATCCGTATTAATCTTGTAGACAACTCAATTTGTATTATATATTTTTTATGGATAATTATTAACTAGTAATTAGTAATTATGATTATTTTGAAGCACAAAGATATCCAGATTATTTTGTATGTGCATGTTGATTCCATTTGATGGAGTCTAATATATATATGTTATACAGTATAGCTAGAACAAAGTTCTTTTTGACATTATTTTTTATCTTCATTTTTATTTTGTGACATCATAGCTTCGCATTTATAGTGATATTTCTCCCCTTGTCTTCTTGTCATGGATGTGTGGACTACATGCTTGTAGTCTAGTTGATACAGTATTAAAAAAGGGAAATAGAAAAACAGTGACCTGTGGTACGTGTACATTCCTAGTTTGTCGATTTGTATCTTTATACAATGCTATCTTAGTGCAAGCAGCAAAACTGAATAATGGAAGACAACATTTATGTGTGAAATTAAGAAATGCAAAAACCAATAGATTTACTGCATTCTTTTGGATATTTCATGTTAATTATCAAACCACCACAGTTCAATTTGAGTTACCAGACTAGAATAATGTACTCTACAAAATGAAGGCAGAAAATGTCCTAGATTGAATTAAGGTATGAGATAAAAACCTACCGGTATGTTGTTTCGATTGTTTTGATCTGGTTGAAGACCAGGATGTAATTGTGTATCAATTTTATTATTGTCAACTGCATACATGCCAACTGTTCAGATTAAAGAGGAACATTCCTCTTTTTGGGAGAAGATAATTATCATTTTAATGCAGGTGTTCCTCTTCCTGTACAAATTTGTCTGTAGTATTGAATAGGAGAGTTAGGATTGTTCCTCTTTTTTTTGAAAATAGCATAATTTGTACAGATTTCTGATTTTCAAATGTTGGCATGTATGCAACTGTAGCATGTATAAAATTGTCTGTTTAGAGCCATAAGTTTATATACAAAACTTATTTGCCCCTCGGTGTCCGCTAGTGGGTTGATTTTGGCGCTGTGCAGTTACAGATGATCATGGACAGTTGAATAATCCATCAGGATTAAACTTGTCTTTCTTCAGTGATTAGTACATATCAAGATTTGATTTGACTTCACACAACCCTTCTGGCTCTCAGCAGATGATACTAATGATTTGGAGTGCATGTTATCAAGACACACTCGGTTTATTATGGTTCTATATTTCTAGTGATGCCAAAATTAAATATATTTGTCACCTTGCAATTAATACCTCTGTAGATTTCTCCCCTTGTTTTGATTGCTTTGCCATGCTACATGTACATGTAAATGTATAATGTATTGCACATTTTATTATGCTATATTCTCAAGTAGGTTCTACTCCACACATTACATGATGCAAGTCTTGTTTGCGTTCCTGCATGTATCTAGCCTTGAGGTAACACATTCTTTTGATTTGGCGCTACTTATAAAAATTGTGCGGTGGAAACTTGCTCATTTATAAGCTAATGTCTTTATTGTTGATTATCGTTAATCTGGTATTTAAGATAACCATGCACTGTCGATTGCACTTTTATATTAAAACCGGGCATGGTGGCTCAGTGGTTAGAGCGCCCGCCTCATGAACTGGAGGTCGTGGGTTCAAACCCCGGCCGAGTTATACCAAAGACTTATAACAATGGGACCTTCTGCCTTCTAGCTAGGCGCTCAGCATATTAGATTGGAGAAGGGTAGTAATAACATTATGTTATGCAGGGCCCGCTGGAAGAGCAGTTTTATAACTAAATTGGCTACACTGGGTAAATAAAACATTATTATTATTATTATTAAACAGAGAAGAAAGACTGACAAATGTAGACACAGATGAAATTATAATTGAAGATGGTATATAAAGAGTGAATGATTAAAGTGATTAATCAAATTGTTTGTTACCAGTATATATTTGAGGTTATGAGAGCTATATGTACAAACATAATGTATTTACAAATATTGTGAGTTCCTTAAATGTGACAGTGCTATTTTGGTGTCAAACAACATATTTTGAATCATGTATCTTGGATGTAGTCAAGCAAAGCTTGTGTACCAATATTTCTCGCTGAAAATTTGTTGTCTACACTTTACATGTACAATAACATTTAGTGTAGTTGTATTTGAATTTGATTGTGTATAGTTGAAATATCAATGTATTTATTGTACTGTATTTGATTGGTTGTTGATTGCCTGAGTAATTTGATGCTATGCAGTGTGTGTGTATCTTTTAACAAGAACTTGACGTTTATGTACTTGCTTCAAAAGCTAAACAGTGGTAGGACCTTCATTGGACTATATCAGACTTTAAGATTATGTCAGGTTTTTGTTTTCGGCGTGTACTCCTACATTTTCTTGGGTTATTTGTGTATTGATTTGGGCATGTCCATTGTATTTGGTCATTTGGCCCTCATGACCTCAGTTGACCTGATTCAGGGACTCTTTAACTATTTCTCTGCTACTGTTTTTGGTAGGAATTCTAAGTTGAAAATGGAATTTATTTGAAAGTTATTTTGATCTCGTCATGTATGACCTACCAATCGTTGTGATCAGTATTATGCATAGGATAAAATACAATAGGTTGGACATGCCCATTATGTCTCATCAACTGACATATATTGTGATAGTCTAATACATAAGGGTCTCTTATATTCTTGTGGTTATTCTATAATTCTCTTTAGCTGAAATAATTTTCATGTAATAGACTGAAATGGAGTACTTGCTGCAATGATTTCGAGTTGATAGATTGTATGATAATACTTGATTGTGCATGCTAAGTGATTAAAACACCTGGTCGATATTGCATACTTCTTCATTTTCAAGAGGTTGTCATTTTGTTATTGAGTACAAGTAGAAAGTAGAGACAGAAAGATGTGAAGGGGGAAGACTGTTCAGTTTAAGAGAATGGGAGAGAGAAAAAGGAAGATGGGAGAGAGAGAGAGAGAAGAGAGTTAGAGAGGAGAGAAAGATAAAGAGAGAGATGGAGATGGAGGGAGAGAGGAGAGAAAGATAAAGGGAGAGAGAGAGAGAGACGGAGAGACAGATGGGAGAGTCGGAGATGAGAGAAAGATATGGAGAGGGCGTGAGAGAGAGAGAGAGAGAGAGAGAGAGAGAGAGAGATAGATATGAAAATAGAGCACCCAAGTGTCATAATATACAATATAAATATTGCAAATAAAAGTGCCAATTATATTATCTTCTAGTAGCAGATCTTTGGGTGTGGGCCAAAGCAAGTCTGACGTAATCTATAAACCCCAGCGAGGTACAAACAAGTGCAATAATATTATTGTGTAATTAAGCAAGCCCCCCTCCCTTCAAATGTGATATTCAAATGGTTACAATCATCAAATAAATGAAATAAAACCTTTTAAAGGGTGCAGCTTCTAAACAGCATCAATATCATAATATTCACACAACTAACAAAGACCTTCTTGAATGCATGCTTCCTGTGTATAATCATTTCTTCTGTATTTTTTTCTTCCAATTTATTTTCCAGTATACACATTTACTTTACATGTTATGTAAATTACAACATTTTAAGTTAAAGAAGAATCAAATACATGAATAATTTTTTTCTCAAAGATGTATTAAACACTTCAATACGCAATACTATCTGTATCAGAATAAAATCTACATTGCAATAACCAAGAAATAAGTTCTATTTTAAGCCCATGCTATATGCTATGCTGCAGGTTCATAGAGCATAATTTAGATTTCAAAAGAACATGGATTTAAATGAAAGCTATTTTCTTCTCCAATTTTTGAAAAAAGTGCCTGTACAATATGCCGAGTATGAAAAAAGCACAACCACATAAATGGGCTAGACTTGCAAACAAATGGGGTTTATACCACAGCTCTTTGTTCAATTGTGACATTTGGGGGCAATAGCAATGTTCAAAGTCCTCAAAAGGCTATCAAATACATAACAGACAATCAAAATTATTTGATCAATTAATTGGGTGTGAACTCATTACTCCTTTTTAATTAATTTTGAAATCAATCCATTGATCATATCCGTACAAAAAGAAAACCTGAATATTGAGCTATCAAAACAAAATACAGACTTGTATCATTGGCCTAAACAATTTTGAAACAAACCCCAAAACACACAGTTGATTGATTTGCTAATCGCCCATTGAATGCAGACTACAGCCATCCATGACTCAAAACCTGTTACCGATGTGTCCGATTGTATGATTGTACTATGATTGTATGACACATGCTCCGGCAACAGTTGCTACAAAGTCAATTTATGACATAAACAAAATTTGAACTTCAATCCTGGACCCGCCATTTTACTTTAATCTAACTCCAACCATAAATCTAATCTAATAAAATCGAACCACAACCAATGACAGAGCCATGTATATCTTGGATGAAACAGAGCTAGGAGAAAACGTCACTGGACTGAGCAGATGTTGGACTACTCTGCATATAGTCAGTTTGGAGCCAGAAGGGCGCTCGCTCAGTTCACTTTACATAGACTTCAATTATAACACCTTTCTGCACCAAAGAGATGATGTGTATGTTGGGTCCAACAGACAGTGATGACGTTCATGCCCAGTATGACATGCAAAATAAATACTTTTGTCAACACCATCACAATGATGCTATCAATATAATCTATTTGCTATAAAGATCACATTGAATTTCTGATACGTTACAAGGCTACCCATGTATCTCAAACAAGCTGGAAAATAACACATGATAATTTGTGTGGAGTTTAAATTATATTTCCTTCCATAATGTTTCTGTACAATACATAATGTGGGATTATCCAGTAAGCAATTGGCATATTCTTACAACATACATGAAAAGAGGGATATTCCATTATGTATTTTGGGGTGGTCCTATACGCTAAGATGGAGAGGGAACATGCAAAATATAAAACTGCATAAATACTATGCCTACATAAATTCAAGAAAACAGTAATCAAACACAGATTAAACTAAGAATATAAATGCTTTGCATTCACATATCCTTATAATATTCAATATTCATAAATTCTCCTACTCTTTTTTTTCTTCAGGTTTAGAATGTGTAGTAAATGTATCTACAAAACACACCGTATTACAAAGATAAGTTACATAATATACAAACAATCTTATAAAGAGAAGTATGATATGTAAATTTAACTCTCTTCTTTATCTATTTTCCTAAATTACGTACAAATCTGCAGACAAGAAATTTGAAAGGAAAAAATGGAAAATCATTTTAGTACAACCAGTTTTATGTAAATTTTTGTGGCAACATGACACCTTATTCAAATCGACTTCAAAATCCTTTTGATTGTCTGAACACAGAGTGTATTCATACTTCTATTGCTATTACTATACGTGGAGAATATTGAGTAAACTTACAGGCATAATATAAAGCTTTAAAAAATTATTATGAAGTATTTGGTGTCATTTATGCCTGGGTGTGGAAAGCAAACAGAATCACTGCAACCGTCGGGGTCTCTCCTCCCAGCATAACTGATTAGGGTGTGCAGGTAGACAACTACAATGGGGTTTCCCCCCAACTCTTCTACATATAGATTCAAGCAATCTTGTCAAATTTTTCCCTACCCCCCCCCCCCCCCCCCCCATTTTGAGGGAGGATCAACGAAACAGTCAAGTCCAACAGCTCTACCACATTGCAATAAATGACAGAATTTCAACACATAAATCTTGATGATGTGCACTTCTGCATTGTAACTAAATTACTTGAAAACCCCTAGAATCTGAGATCTCGGTCGTTTCATTTACAAGTAGCAAGAAGTAATCTTAACTCATTAAATACATACCTGTAGCTTAATATGAAATCAATATCAAGTATATATACTCTACGAGATCGCATCAATTCGATCATTACTGACATAAAATACATCTGCTTCTAGAATTGCTTAACCTTAGGCAAAGTGCAAAGGCTCTATTCCTCACTGTACTGTGTACTTTGATAAGACAGAGAGAGAAAAATGAAATAAAATGAAGAAAAAATAGGAGCCAAATTACGAATATTGCAGCTGAACAAAGATTCATTTTGCTTCCAATTCTTATTTCACCTACACTAAATTGGAACTATATTGAATCTATAATTCTGACTTTTGAAATAAATATATGAATTCAAAAAGATGTAAATACTATTCCTTTATAATCATTTCCACATGTACACTAACAGAGTGAATCTCCTTATAACGAAAATTATTTTGCATCAACTTTTTAAGAATTACAATCATGGCCTTTTTTTTAGTAACATGTGTTCTCAAAAGACAAATTGCAGCTGACCATTGAAGATGACCATCGAAGATGACCATTCTGTTTTCCTTCAATTTTAGCAGGTGGAGGAGGCGCAAGAGAGTCCATACTCTAACGTGATTTCCTTTTCTCAATTTTTAGAAATGAATTTGTAAACATGTATCATCCTAGTTGTCTAATTGGAAAATTGCTTTTGATTGCTTGACCAAATAGCATATTATGGTTGCTGTGGGGCAAGTGAACAAGTTGTATTGTAGCAGTGTATAGATTAGAAGTCTTTGAGCCCTCAACTCATATCCTGCCATAAAGACGCATGCACGCTACCGTTATAGTGCTTTATTCACGCGAGCGAGCCACAGCTTAGCTGCTTTAAGCATGCATGCTCGCATTCGTAATTAATTCGCAGTTAATGTCCTTGCTCGTTGTACTGTGCCGAGTGCTTTGCACGCGCTATTGATCGCACCATCAGATTATCTCAAAATAAACTTGGTACAGGGGGGATTTGTTGCTTGGCACAATAGGGATTAGCCCTGTGGCACTGGGCTGTATTCATTATGGCAAGATAAGAGTTAAAAAACATTATCCGGTACTTCATTCACTCAAATTTTGAAAATTTCAATTTTGTTTGAGTAATAGGGGATACAGTGAAGGTGTCAAAGTCTTGTGGATACATCACCAGACTGTATTTACCATGGTACAAGGTTCAAATCCCCAGGCCAGCACTAATGTCCTTTGGCAAGACATAAAGCTGCATTTGCCACTCTCCACCCAGGTGTATATGGGTGCCTGAGCATTAGTTACTCTGGGGCTAGGCTTATAACAGGGATGATATATCTCAGTGCAATGAGCGCCACAGCTTGACTGATACGAGCACAACATAAGAAGCTATTCGTGGTTGAGTGAGATTTAAAGACAGGCAGAAAGGCCCCTTTTTGAAAGGCACAAAAAAAAAAAAAGGAAAGTAAAAACATATAAACAATACAGTGAATTATATAAATGAATAACTCTTGAGTGGGATATGGTCTGCTCCAAGCCAGAAGGGCATTTAAGATAAATTTGAGTTCTGGTAAAAAAAAAAAATGAATTCTCACAGAACCAAACAAAACTTACACTGAATGTTCAAGATTACAAATAAATGTCATTTGCCAAACAATTTTGGTAGAAAAAGTGTACTGGCTGAGTAATGAGCATAGAAAGATAAGGAAATCAAGGTTGGTAGCCCCGACAACATTTGTGTAGTCCCATATACATCTTTCTGTGTACAGTGCTTGTTACTTTACCAAGACTGGGCCAAATTCATAATGATTTTGATGATTCCAGAACCTTGCAGTACACACCAATACTTATATGCTAGATGATCAACCTTTTCTGATCGATTCCACAACGTTTCTTTCACAATGCAATCGCATGACCAGAACTGATCTTTATCTTCAACGTCCTTCTGGCTCCAAATAGATGAAATTTTCTTCTGGCTAGAGAGGGAGTATAATGAGTGTTGTAGATGATGAATGCACACTGATTAAATAACTTGAGATATAAGTGCTTTCCCTCGTCTCAATTACTTACCTAATATAGTTGAAAACAAAACTGTTTATAAGAGTTGCTTTAAGAGAGTAGTGCAACTGTGTAACACAAAATATACTTTGTATCAAGAGGCGCGTCTTCATCATCTCGAGATTGCCAAATAGCCTGCTATTTCTGATTTGGGAAATAATCCTGAAGTTACAAATCCCGTCTTCATCAGCTCGAGATTCGACCTTGAAACTTGAAACTTGACCTTGAGAAATTAGCTTGAGATATTTTGTTCAGTGTTAGCGCATAGTGCGATTCTTCGGTCTGGTGAAGATGCACAGGACAAACAGCTGGATATTTTGCAAACTGATATCTTATGATAAAAAACCAAATATCCCGCTAATTGCTACTTCGGTCTGATGAAGACGCTAATGAGCTGGATAGTTTGCGATCAGGATATTTCAAATACCGTAGCTTTTTTTTTAGCAATCTCGAGATAGTGAAGACAGGTCTAATGATCAATCAAAACTGAAATTTAAGGGTCATAATCAAGACCCACTTACACTATATAACCACAACATTCCATACATGTACAGCTTGATAGCACATGTAGAGATATAGTTGTTTTATCTCCCTTAAGAATAGAGCATTCATCAACCAATCTGCATAAATATTATGACTACCAAATACTTCCAGCAAATGTACTCAGATTTCCACAGAATGTACACTTACATATTTCAAAAAATTTGGTGTCTTATCTCCACGTGGCTTTGTTCAGACACACATGTACGCTTTAAAATGTGCAAACTGTATCATATGATGTATCAGAGCTTAGAGGCCATCATTGCGCTCATAATTTCCATTTCCCTCTTAATTGCAATTCCCTATCAAACATGTACAACAGTTTGTATTTTGCCATGGAATTTGTTTTATATTTGTTACTTTTTTCTTTTTTTTAAAGACAGATTTAATAACGCATTGAGTCTGAACAAAGCTCAAGAGCCCATCAAGGCGACTGATCTTTCAACCCTCTGTGGCACATGAACACCAAAAGAAGAAAACCTTGTGTCATGCCATCTCCAAAGTACACTTCACAAACATGAATTGCTCCCTCTACTGTTGTCTCCACCCCAAGCTCCATGTATTAGCAGCATCCTCCACTTTTGGGCTCCTCTGCGTCTTCTACTATCGTCACACTTTTGTGTTTGGACGCTCGGCTACTGCTCGCCCCGTCGTCAAGGAACGTTGATTCTAACATTCCTAGAATTAACAAAAAACAAATAGAAAGATGGTAAAAAACGATTCTCAGAATATACTTATTTTATTAGTAGTGCTGGTTATTTTACGAAAGCATACCAGTAAATGCTTGTTAGTGAGCAAGCAGAGGGCCGACAGCTTTAGGTCCTCTCTTAGAGACCTGGTAATGAGGATTAATGCCTTACCAAAGGGCACTAGCGCATCGCCTTGGATATTGCATACAGCCCTGGGGAAATTATTAGATCAAGCTCCTATAGGGGTATTATATGGTGATGATGACGCACACAAACTTTCAAAAAAGTAATTTTCTTTGTGGTTCCTCAAATGGAAAAATATTACAGAAATTGTACCTTGCTTTTTAAAAACATTTTATTTTAATTAAATGTAGGCCTATGGTGGGTTACTTGGGAGCAAGCAATGACTAAGTTTGACAAATTTATTCATATCCCCAGTCAGTAATGGTGTATTATTTCTCCACTTAGAGACTGATGCATGTATTAAAGCCCCACTGCACTACTTATAGCTACTTGCGCCCTCTATATAGCAAACAATGCCTAATCAATGACCATCGGTCCCCCATGGTCCCCTTTTTCTTATGTTTATTGAGAGCTGATTTGATGAGATAACCATCCATCAGTGACCTTGCAAAGAGGTCTAATCCCCCTTCTATCAGTAGTGCGGTGGGGCTTTAAAGCTTATCTGTACTAGTTTACAGGAGGGATTAGACCGCCCTGCAAGGTCACTGGACAGGTGGTTATCTCAACAACTCAGCTCTCAGTTTACATAAGAAAAAGAGGATCATGGGGGACCAATGGTCACCGATTAGACATTGTTTATTATATAGAGGGCGCAAGTAGCTACACGTAGTGCAGTGGGCCTTTAAAGAAACTATACATGACTTACGTTTGCTAAGATCCAGGAACATTTCTTCTATCCCTTTGTTGAGTTTTGCTGATGTGTGAAAGTGTTTAGCTCCCACTGAGGCAGCATATCTGCAGGGAGAGATAAAAAAAAAGAAATGACCAAAAAATGTTGTAGAAAATGGGTATTCTCTAAACAATGCTCAACAACCTCCAACTTATGGAGTCTGGGGGGTGTTTCATGAAGCTGTGCGTAAAGTTATGCATGACTTGAATATGAAGAGCTAAATGGGGTCCTTAAATACTTTTAATTGCATAAGCTTAAGTTGAAATATGCAAATGTAGATTAACCTTATCATTATTAACAAAACATTTTAATGCAAAGCATATTTTTTACTACAATCTAATTGAGATTATTACAAATACAGTCACACTTTTTAAAATGTCAGGAATAACCTTGGGCATCACATTTGGCTCTTCATATTCAAATCATTGGTAAAGTCATTCGTAACTTTACGCACAGCTTTATGAAACACCCCCTGGATCTCTCCATATTGAATGATCTGGATGGGGATAAAAATCAGTCTAGAGCAAGATCTCAACAATACAACAACAAAAATGAACAAATGCCCCAAACACACGTATGAAGCTTCCTAAAATACTGAAATATGAATTTAAATATGGAAAGGTAGAAAGAAACTTACGCTTCTGCGTCCGCTACTGATACATTCCTCTGCTTTTCCAGGTCAATTTTGTTTCCTGAAAAAAGAAAGAAAAAAGAAACAGGTAAAATTTGGAAGACATGTTATGTCAACAGAATTGTAGTCCTTATTTCATAAGACCAATGTACGAAGCTTATTACATGTACAAGTTCCCATTGTCTAAACAACATCTGTACTTCAGTTCTCAAACATCATGATAACTTCTGAAAATGTTGACTTGTACAATATAACCTTTGTGTATTGAGGGCAGTGATTGTATTTACCTGCTATACATAATGAGATGTCATTCCCCAGCATCTTCTTCAACTCCTTCACCCAGCTCTTCACCTGGCAGGAGAAAATAAAATAAGAAAAGAGTGTGATTACAACACTACTAAGACATGAAACTGAAACTGATATGTACCGAAATACTTTAAGCTTTTTAAGGGGTTAGGCTTGACTAGCACATGTGCTATTATCTGGCCCCTTTTACCAACCAATAGTTTCTCTTCTTGTATACGTAAACACATTGTATGAAATGTATTACTGTATTGCTGTTGGTATTAAATGGTAAATCGATCAAATCTAATCAAATCAGATTGTAAGCTGCTTAAACCATAGCACAAAATAAAATGAATTACCCTGGTACCAGTAAGCATAGTGTCCATCACAGTTCTTTGTCTTTTATCACACAGAAGATTTTATAGGGACCGTTTTGGCATTGATTTTAACTTTTTTAAATAATTTTCCAACACCATTATATGTGTCAATCAATTTAAACATTAAAATGCCAGTGGTTCATTCGTATAGGTCATTTCCTAAGCCTTGACTAAAGAAGTTGATAATTTGACATCAGCTAGTTCAAAATAAACCCAATTGAACCAAAGCCCTGATGTCCAATAGTAATGCAGGTCAAACTATAAAGAAAACTATATGAACTGTGAACATAAGTCATTAAAAATATTGACGAATACATAGGATAGATCTAGATGTATGTCGGCTGTAAATAGAAGAATCCATCCAACTTCTCAAGTACAGCATTTAACTTATGTAATAAGAATGTGAAACGAAAATGATATTTGAGCAAATGAGATATCAATTATGTTGAATGGCATTTCTTTCGCAGCTCACTATGAGGTGTAATCAACTACATGTAGAATTACGACCAAACAGAGGTCTTCATGTGATGAAATTTGATGTATAGGGAATATAATCTTCAGGAAATTACTGATTAGACCCGATTATCAATGCTGATGGTACATGCATGTCGAGGGGTCAGTGACACAAAGACGTAACTCAATTTTGTACATTTTGAGAAAAAGTGGTTAAGGTGTCACAGAGCACTCGGGCCTTTAGGAGTTAAGTCCACGTTTCACTAGCCATTGACTTCAATAGGGTGTTGGGTGGAGTTAAGTCTTTGTGTTTCCTGGAAAGCCCACATTTTCTGAACATTTTGATATCAAATACTCATTTTGGCAAAATATGGAGTTACGTCGTTGTGTCACTGAACCCTCGATATACATGTTCATGGCATAAAAGGTACAGTGCTGAGGAAGAGGAAATCTAATAGTCTTTTCACACTGGTTTTGCTTAGCCCCGTACTATCCTTAACCCCGGACTAACTATTTTGGCTTTTCTCATACTCTGTTTTTAGTCCCGTACTAGCACCTATTCCAGTGTTCACTGTTATTCGTTAGCCCCGGACTTGCTCTATATCGTGAATATTATGATTGGACAGTGGGCTCCTTACTTCGCATCTGGCCAGCTGCGATACGCTCCATTGCGTAGTACCAGACTATTTTTCATTTCTGTTCTCATTCATTTGCTTGGCATCGCAATTGCGGTGTTAGCAGGAGTAAGCACCACAATTGCGGGGTTAGCCCTGCTATTTTGCAGGGCTAGCTAACCCCGTACTATAGGTGGGGCTAGCCCACTTTGGTAAATACGGTTTCTGAATATAAAGTGGAATAGGCTTAACCCCAGACTATAGATGGGACTAAGACCCCCCCCCCCCCCCTTAAACCTTAACCCCACCCATAGTACGGGGTTAAGCAAAATTTTGCCAGTGTGAAAACAGTATATAGGTAATTCATTCTTGAAAATTTAACATGTTCATGTCACATTCTTTAGAACTGCTCCTACACTGTACTTTGTACTTGCCCTTTTCTTTCTAACTATTTTTTAAAAAATCAGCAGGAAAAAATGTGTAAGGAGCTGGCTACTAAACATCAGTATGCAGTGTTGGTCCTTTGCAAAGTCATATTTCAGGCAAAGAAATAAAATGAGTCTCATATTGTTGGCAGCACAACCCACAAGAGCAACACTAAGTGGAATGTTTCTTACACTTACGCAAATCAATTTTGGCAATAATAATGAGGGGGGTGGGGGGAGGGGGTGCAACAGAACTGACAGGGGTTGGACTACAAAGGTTCAGAACCTCTTTTTAACCCTAATATGTGCAACACAAGTTATGTCCCAGCTGTGCCACGTTGTATTTATCATTGGTACCAAAGGCTTCAAGATCAAAAGGGTGGCAATGGAGCTAATCAAAACCAAAAAGGGATAATTTGCAAAGCCATTGTGTTTCACAAAGCAAACCTTCCCCTTAATGGTGCCTATTGTTTTGTACAAAATCGCATGTTTGACAAACGAGCAAACGTGAAGAGAGGCAAAGAAAGTAACCAAATACAAAAAGGGAATTTGAATGTTTGATTTACCTTCGTGAAGGAATCCTCATCTGTAATGTCATAGACTAGTATTGCCCCGTTGCTGTCTCTGTAGTAGATAGGTCCTAATGCATGAAACCTCTCTTGACCTGCCGTGTCCTTTACATGAGTAAATGAATAAATCAATAAGTCAGGCTTCAACTTGGCAACAATAATTGACCATATCAGAGACGAGTATTGCAGTCGATCTATACATGCAGGTCCTAATGCATGATCTCTCTTTTGACCTGCCGTGTCGTGTAAGCATGAAGGAACACACCACTACATGTAGGCCAGGTTTCAAATTGGCAACAACAAGTGACCATAAAGTGTGACCATACAGTAAGTTCAGTTCATGATGTCCATACGGTATGTGACTAAACTGTTAAAAATGAAACAGATTGTCATATAATGCATGATGTACAGCTGGGTAGGCTTTAACAATACAAACTACAGTACAATACATGCATTTGATTTTATAAAGAAATACTCAAATGGGCCATTCCATGGTAACTCGCGTTACACTTAATGGGTACATTGACACGATAATGTGCCTATATCTTTAGAACTGCTAGGATCTACAAGATACTTTTTTCAAACATGGACAGGGTAGATATAGAACAACTGAATGAAACAAAAAAGAAAATTGAAGAACAAACATTTTTAGATTCTTGGATTATTGAGTTTCGGTAACTCGCGTTACAAAATAAGGACATGGTCAATTCTATGAGACCCTCTTTTCTCCTCATACTAGACAATCTTGACAAAATCTTTCCTACTTTAATTTGATATAGTAGGTTGTGACTTACTAGTATAAGATAACAATATTAAAGATAAGAAACAATGGACTAGTAAAATGCAGGAAGCAAATATGTCGGTAACTCACGTTACGGTAACTCGCGTTACATTTTGTCCGGAGGCCATTTTCACCCCTATGTAATAGATTAAATATCACAGGACCCCATAGAATATGGAAATATATTCATCTTTTTCCATTTAGCGAAATTTTCAGGAAAAAATATTACAAGAATCCTGTGTAATCTGCAATAAATTGGGTTTTTTCAGCTACAGTCCCACATGTACGTTTTTGATGATGGTTTAAAATCTTAGGAAATCAACAAAAATGAAAAAAAAATTGTATTGAATTTGAAAGGCCCCAATGAACATCCATGGCATAAGGTTAGTGATAAATCAAAGAATTAACATAAGAGGTACATTTCTTTTTTTGATGTCATGTCCTTCTTCTCATGGAATGGCCCAAATCGATAAAGGCAAATTTAGGATTAAAATACTGAATCAACTGCTATTACTTGTGTTACATTGCATCGCGATATTTAGAAGCTCAATCATGACTTCAACAACAGGGGTGTTGCTTTTCTTGTAAAACATTAAAGAGTAAAGAATATACATGTAGATATCAATCTTATCTGAATACCATTTTATCAACAACTTCATTATGACGTTTATCACTTAATCCATTGATTGAGAGATTCATAACTAACGACTTGCATTGTACTGTACATGTTGGTTTGTTATTTAACAAACTGTAGGAATCCTATCTGGATATCGATAATAATATCATTCCTAAGCACTTTTTAAATTGTGGAAGTAAGGAGGTCATACAAAAGTTCACAAGGACAAAGTGGGTGTATTATGACAAAATTTAACAAATTATATGCACCATGTATATGACTTAGACCTATTGCCCTTTAAATAAATGGGAAAATGATACTACAGGTAATTGAAAGAAAAGAGGGAAGAGGAGAAGAAGAAGAAGAAGAAGAAAAAAGAAAAAGAAGAAGAAGAAGAAAAAGAAGAAGAAGAAGAAAAAGAAGAAGAAGAAGAAGAAGAAGAAGAAGAAGAAGAAGAAGAAGAAGAAAAAAGAAAAAGAAGAAGAAGAAGAAGAAAAAGAAGAAGAAGAAGAAGAAGAAGAAGAAGAAGAAGAAGAAAAAGAAGAAGAAGAAGAAGAAGAAGAAGAAGAAGAAGAAGAAGAAGAAAAAGAAAAAGAAGAGGAAAAAGAAAAAGAAGAAGAAGAAAAAAAAGAAGAAGAAAAGAAGAAGAAGAAAAAAAAGAAGAAGAAGAAGAAGAAGAAGAAGAAGAAGAAGAAGAAGAAGAGAAAGAAGAGAAAAAAGAAGAAGGATTTAAATACTAATTATAGAGCTTACCCATATATCAAGGTTGACTCGTTTTCCTCCTATATTCAGCTTTTTGTTGAGAAATGATGCCTGGAAATTAGAAAAGAAAATACTTTTTTTTTATAGCTAAATGTATTCAGTTCAATCAACGTCAGACTTAAGCCAAACCAGAATTTTGGTAAAATTATCAGGCAGACTGGCAGACACAATATTTGTTGCTTTTTTTTTTGTTGCTTCCTGGCGACTGAGATGACCTCACACTTTTGGGTTCTATCAACTTGCTGGTCCGATCACTGAGCTTGTAAAGATCTTGTAGTTGCTCAGCATCAGCATCTGACTGTATGTGTGGTGAGGTAGATGGTTGCGTTAATATTCAGCAAACAGTCAAACTCTTGACGTAGTTGGACGATCAAGTCATTTCGAAAAAACACTATAGATAGTACCCTCGCCCTCGCGCTGCGTGCCAAGTCATGAAAATGTCACGCATTGCTGATCTTTGAACTTGGCGTCTCTGCTATTAATTAGGTCATTCATTCCTGACTGGTGCATTTTCTCTGAATTTTTCATTTTAGCCAGAATTTAGAGCATAGTTTTCAAAAGAATTTGATCCTTTTTTACTTTATTTTCTTCTTGCCTTGGAATTTTGATCTAGAATCTAGACTAGTCTCACTAGATCTAATCATATTCAATTCCTCCTCCTCAATCCAAAGTCAAAGAAGAGTTTGAACTGGAAACAAACAAATAAAAAGAGTAGTAAATCAGGACCCTAATTTAAGTAAGGAGAGTGGGGGGAACTAACAACAGTCTATACTAGTTGAATTCCTAAAGCGTAGGGTACCGGGTGGGAATTCCCATTTTTGCCTACAATTCAGCCAGTCATACACGCAACACAGCTCAGTGCATCCACACTCACAGTCGTACTCACTTGCAATGTTGTAATGTGTTTATCATTGAATTTGTTTTCTACGTATCGCAACACCAGCGACGTTTTTCCGACACAGCCTTCTCCAAGCAAAACCACCTTGAAATTTTTTCCTCCGGCGCTACTAGCTGCCATTTTAACTATCTCTAAAGAGAGTCTTTACAATGACAAGATTGACAAAAGTGAGGTCTTGCTATTCCTTGCTCAGTTTCAGCTAAGTCCAGTGTTTACACGTTGAGAAACTCGATCCTTCCTTTCTCTTCTTCTCTCACACAGTCACAGTCATGTTACCTTTACGCCTCCATTTATCAAGTGGATGACGTCACTATCTAGTTTTGATGGTGGTCGTGAGACATTAGTATTGGATGGAATTAATTCATTTATTTCATTCTGTCAATTTATTGTAGTGGTATGTTTTATTTCTGCGGTTAAATGATATTGATATAAATATCAATACTAGCATAATTTGTCATGTAGATCTAGACCCGACATCATTGTCAAGACCCTAAAAAACAATGACATCATGATTGGTATATTACCAGAAACAGCGGATCACTTGTGTTCACTCTGGTTTGTCAATTTGATAAATGGTAAAACAGTAAGAATCAATATGCATAATTCGAAATGTTTTGATTTTAATTTATTTATTAAGCGGCACGCGCATAAAAGAGAGACCAGAGTGAAAATAACTGGAATTAAATATTTATTTATTTAGATAATTTTATTTATTATTTATTCATTATTTGTCTATTTTGTTATTCATTCATTCTTTGATATATTATTTTATTTATTTATATATTATATTTTTATTCATTTATTCATTTTTCAATTAGAAGCGTAGCTATAAGTCATCGAACCGAATCAGGGTAGCTAGATCTTTGAGAAGGCATATCAGGGGCACGAGATGAAACATTGTAGAGCTACGCTCGGTTGCTATATGCAGGCTGGCGTACACAGGATTTATTTGAGGGGGGGGGGGTTAAAAATTTGAAAATCACGCCAAAAATTTCGCAACAACTCAGCCAGCCGCTGAATAAGCGGGGGGGGGGGGGGGGTAAGAGGACATAATTTTTTTTTTTGGGGGGGGGGGTCTCAAATATTTCGCAACATCTCAGCCAGCCACTTAATAAGCAGGGGGGAGGGGGGGGAGGGGGGGGGGGGGGGGTTTATGAGGACATTTTTTTTTTTTGGGGGGGGGGTCTCAAAAATTTCGCAACGTCTCAGCCAGCTGTTGAATAAGCAGGGGGGGGGGGGGTTTAAGAGCACATTTTTTTTGTGTGTGTGTCCCAAAATTTGGAAATTAATTGGACCCACTTCTATTTTTACAGATGGGGTCCAGAGCCCAATGAGGGCCCCTACCTGTCGTTCAATTGAATCCAATATGATGGCGATCCGTGATATTTTTTCTCCATCTCTCTCCCTACCCTATCTTCTTTTTTTTACTTTGTTTTTTCCTTCCTTCGCTCTCCCTTTCACCGACATCTTATCATATTTAGCGCTTTTTGCATGCGAAAATCACTAACATTCACTTAGATCGGCCACGTACATGCACACATTGTCTGTTGAGCTATCTACAATTTCAGTATACATCTTCTGCTACTGACTGTTGACATGGTTGAGTTCCGTGATCTCTATTCTAGAGTCTAGTTTCGTTATAAAAAGTGAGTATTATTTTGGCTCTAGGAGTTTTAAACATTTTATGAGTAAAGGTGAATGATGAGTTTGATCTTGTACTTTTCAATGGGTTAGTATTTTGGTGCAGAAAAAGACAGGAAGCATGAATGCTGAAGAAGTTGTGTTGACTGTTTTGTCAATAATGTTAACTTTGAGTCTGTGTTGAGTGATCGGTGCACTCAGTGCAGTGGCCGGTGATACTACACTGTACAGTACAGCCTACAGGTACCTTCAATCTGAATGAAACACGAAAATTAAAGAGAGTGTAGCGGCTGTAACCTGATGAGACTATGTGTCTTTCCGTGCCGTGACTCGGGCCAATCGGGTTTAATCCGACTACGGACGACGCGAGGGTAAAACGCGAAACCGAAGGCGAAGCCTGAGGAGAACTTCGGTCTGTTTTCGCGAACGCTAGCCGCACTGACCATGACATGTAGAGATTAAGTCACTGACTACCATTAATCAAGTCCAATTGTGCAGTTGTCCAAAAGAAGACATAGGTCTAGATGGCGTTCTATTTGCCAAGCTACACTCCCTTTAAACTTAAAGATAGTGTCCCTTTTGCAATTGCAGTCAACATCAAATACAGCATGGCACACTCGTTCACAACACTACACAACAGTACGAAAATACTCTACCCAGAGGACTGTACTTGCACTGGAAGAAGAAGAAGAAATTCTTTAGAACTTTGAATGAACTTAATTAATTTAATTTAATTTAATTCAGGAACTTAACATTAGTCTTAATCTAAGAATACACAAACGAACGAACTATGTGAAAGTCATCTAAATCTTTCACAATTGTTCTATTAATGGTCATAATTAATAAGTTGTTATCTTTCTTACCTGTTTTGTGTTTGAACAACAGCAACAAGGCATTTTTTCCCTGCCATATTTGTGTTGAAGGGGGAGTCTAAAATTGCCATTGGTTTATTGTGTGGATCATAACAAAGATGTTTTTCAAACAAAAGTAAGCAGTGAATTAAAGTAGACAGTTGAAAGGGGTATAAGAATCTGCTCATCATATTTTTTTTAGCAGAGGTAATCCATTTTCAGCAAATGTAAATATAGGAAATTGACATCCCAAATTGGAGACTGTCTCCCAAATTTGCTACCGACAATTTTCATAAAATTCTCTGACATTAGAGAGTAGAGGCAGTCTCCCAAATTTTGATGTGGAGAGTCTTGCATGCTCGGGAGGGAAGGAGGCACATACATGTACTCTGACACATTTCCCTTTACATTTTCTTTTCCTTTTCTTTTCCTTTTCCTTTTTTTAATACTTTTTTTTCAAATGTATTTGAAAAAAAAAAGATACAAAGAGAAAGAAAATGTGTCTGAGTATGACCCCTCCCCCACAGCATGTTTAGAGCACCCGAAGGATCTGACACTAGGTTTAAGAAAAAGGGTTTATGCAGATGAAATCCTCATCTTGAAGATTCTGATGTAAATTAGAGAGCTTGCCTTGGCACATCATCAATGCCCTCGACTAAGATTTGTCCCAGAGTGCTCTATCTATCTTTATGGTGGAATAAAGATGCAAGATGACTGAAGAAAAAATTGAAGAAGACTGATAGAAAGGCTGGTGACTTTGCATACACCAACATGTACATACCCGTATCTCAACAGATTATGTAAACAGGTGAAAAATATGTATTTCTTTATAGTTTCAGGCAGCACACTTTTCCTTCCCCCTTCTCTCTAGGGTTCAACCCTTTGTAAATAATTTAATCTTTTTCTCTAGACACATACTTTGTGGAGAATTGAACCAATAGAACCAGGAGCACAGGCTTCTCCTACTCACCATGGCGTCCAGTGGGCAGTTCGATGCTGTTATCCAACAAAATATTGGAAAGGTATGTGGACATAGGTGTTATAGGTTTTTATCATTTTTTTCTTGTATTTATTTGTTTTCCTGTTAATGTTGTTTTTGTAAATTTTTCTAATTTCTCGATATATATGTCATGGTTGGTTCCCCAACCACAAGCTTGTATTCAAACTTCTTTAGGGGCTCCTAACCCCATATATATTTTCATGGTTGAAATAAATTGAATTGAATTGAATTGACACGGGTCTCCCCAGTTAACAGGGACAAAATTATTAAAAAAAATTCAGGGGCTACTTTTCAACCTTGCTTGCATGAAAATACGGTAACACTCTTTAATTTGTTTTGCATTGAACTCTATGCAAATTTTGTTGGGCTCTTTTATGACTTACTGGGGCTCTTTTGGGCATTTCGGGGGCTAATTCCCCCCGAGCCCCCGTGTATTTTTTTCACTGCCCCAGTATATTACATCCTTAGTGCTATAACCAAGCATCGGGACATTTAGAAAAGAAATGCTGAGGTTCACGTCTCCCCGACAAGCATCACCAACTAGGGTTTGGATTAGGGTACCGGTAGTTACATGTAGTTTTCAATGCATGCTTTCATTGAGGGGGATCCATAACATTCAAAGACAACATGAATATGAAACAAATAGAAAAGTTCTAATGTAGCAAAACATGGAGCATAAAACACAATGTACAAGTATATGTAGCATTTAAATAGACAAATAATAACTGACAAGAAATTGCTTTTTTCTTGACAAACCATCTGGGGGGGGGGGGGGCCCTTGGTATGCAAATTCATGCTGAAGTTCAACATAAAGCAAATTTGAGTCATAAATGTGGGTGAGGTAGTGTATCCCTTTTGGAGCTAACATCAAATTTGTTAGAACTTTGCAGAAATTATGAACATGTCATGACATGTACAAGGGTCTTAAAATCGGACTATTTAATTAAACGAGCACGCTCGCTAAATTCATTTCGATTCCATTTAACAACTAAATGTTGTTTTTTCCACAAAAAGATATTTTCAAGCCCCTTTGTTTTGAGGGAAGTTCTAAATTAGTATTATCTTTCAAGTGCCCTTGGAAATTAACCTTTTCATTTTTATGGCGTGCAAATGGGGCATACATGTACATGTAGTACCTTTAAGATAATCTTGAGTTTGCTATTGAGGTACATTGAACACAAACATCCATTTATCTTTGGTTATGTTTTGTATTTGCTCATAAAGATCATGGGATTGGGAAAAAATACTTGAAAATTTTTGGGGGCTACTTTTCAAGCTTGCCGCTTGCATGAAAATAACACTCTTTATTTTGTTTGCATTGAATTCTATGCAATTTTGGGGGGCTCTTTTACGACTTTCAGGGGCTAATTCACCCCGAGCCCCTGTTTATTTTTTTCCCTGCATGGAAAGGTCCAGGATGAGTGTTTGATTTTTTGTTTTTGTCCAATATATCCTGAATGTAATATTCATGACAATACACAATTGCACATTATATACAATTAACTTCAATTTTCTTGATATTTGATCTTCTAAATAGGCCTATTATGTTCATACATTCATGAGATATGCTGCAATGGTAGCAATGTGTGGGACAAAATACTTGGGATAAGCCCATTATGCCATCTGAAATTTAAACAAATGTTGATACAGTATACCAGAGCTGCCAACTAGTACGGAGTTACCGTAATTGGTACAGACATTAACGATCAGTGCGGAATGTCTCAAAATTACGGATTTAAAAAAAAAAAAAATATATATATTTTTGATTTGAGATAATATTCCATACTGATAGAAGCCATTTTTCATGAAAAACTGTTGTGATGACCTGAAAATCAATATTTAACAACTTTGTGTGACTAAAATCACCCAAAAATTTAGATAATCATGTGCCTGTGCAGTGTTGGCATGCTCTTTTTTAAAGACTCATACTGTAGCGCCGCATAGGAAATAACTGATTTAAACCCAAAATTACTGATTTTGAGCCTTGTGATTACTGATTTTCTGTTCTGGAGGTTGGCAGCTCTGGTATACCAATCAACAAATTTATTTTTGCTTTGTACATGTACACACCTGTATGTTAGGGGTTACATGGCACTATACTAAATTCCAAATATGAGCTTCAAATATAACATCTATAAAGAGATATTGCAAGTTGAAATGAGGTTAGCCTAAAAGCCACTCATGAGCAGACTCGATGCACCTTTACGCGTTCGCAAATGAAATCGTCCTCATGGAAACCAAGCCGTTCTGTCCGCACAGTTTTATGTTATTCTTATTTTCTTCATACTCATTAGCTGTTGATCCATAGGATGCCAGATATAGTTTTTTGAGGTTCATTTTATACATTCTTGCTACTTCTGTACTGGTACCAGTAACAGTTGATTCCACTATACCAATTTCCATATTTTTCAGAAGATTATCAATTAAAAAAAAGAAAGAAAAAGTACATGTACCTACGGTAATGAAGTTTCTTGTACCCCAATTTTCATGTACTGGTTTGTAATATATACAGTCAAACCTGCTTTAGTGACCACCTGTATAGAAAGACAACCTGTCTCCAAGGACCAAATTTGTTGTTTCCCTTGAAAATGGTTTCTCATTAAAACATGTATTAAAGGAACCTGTACATAAAGAACACCTGCCTATAAAGACCACTTTTCTTGTCTCCCTTGGGTGGTCATTGTAGTGACTAGACACTTGACCAACTCTAAAGGTTACTGGCTGACAGCTTGGCAGTAGGTCCATGCTGGTGGCACCCTAATCCGTTAATGGTCACAATGGGCAATAAATGTCATAATACCCTGTAGTCTTGGACAATGTTTACATGTGTTTACACCTGTCATGTATATATTATATCACTCTCAATATAGGCGCGTCTTCATCATCTCGAGATTGCCAAATAGCCCGCTATTTCTGATTTGGGAAACAATCCTGAAGTAACAAATCGCGTCTTCACTGTATCGAGATTCGACCTCGAAACTTGAAACTCGACCTTGAGAAACTAGCTCGAGATATATTGCTTAGCGTTAGCGCGTATTGCGAATCTTCGATCTAGTGAAGACGCACGGGACAAATAGCTGGATATTTTGCCAAATAGTGGGATAATTGCAAACTATCCCAAGATATCTTGGGATGACAATCCTGACCAAATATCCTTCTAATTGCTACTTCGGTCTGATGAAGACGCAAATTAGCTGGATAATTTGCGATTGGGATAGTTCAAATAGCTGGATATTTGGCAATCTCGAAATAGTGAAGACAGGCCTAGTGATATATGTATAGAGCAGCCTGTTTGTAAGGCAGTCTGGGTTGACCCTTTAGACATACATGTCACATCTCTCTCTAAACTAGCATTACTTTGTGTGACTTGAATACATGAATGCTACAAGGAATAAGTTCAACTGAAAGAAAAATTATGGCAAGGAAATGCATTACTTCTTTCCAGTTGTAAAGGTATACATGTAGCGTGCAACAGTCACTCAGCTTTCAAAGAGGTACAAGGAGTGGGTCAGTTCCACCCACATGAAGATTGATCCGGCTCAGATTTCCAAGTCATGGACTCGATGGCTTAGGTCTTTCGAACTTTATGTAGTAGGCAAAGGGGTTTCGAACCCGGAACAAAAGAAAGCACTCTTGCACTGGACCTGAGGTGCAAAGTGAAATCATACCTTTCACATCTCTCTCTAAACTACCGGTAGCATTACTTTGTGTGACTTGAATGCATGAATGCTACAGTCATTAAAGACAGGTTTCACTGTATTATGTTCATACTGTATTTATTTTCTTTTTTCTTCTACAGTATACTAATAGAGATCAGACACAAAGGGATATGCAAAGTGTTTTTGCTGCATTCAAAGACCTACGACCTAAACTAGATTCCCATGGTAGGTATATTGCCGCCCCCTCCTTTTTTGTTTGATATTATCATTTGTGTGTGTGTGTGTGTGTGTGTGTCTGTCTGTCTGCCTAGCCAAACAGAGTTGGCCTAGGAATTTTTTTATGAAATGAACCCTTTCCTTGCAGTGGGCAACAGATTCAGTCTTTTTTTGTTTCATTTATTTATTCAGTTCTGAATGTAAACATAATGACAATTATGTTTAAACATTTGAAAATATAAACTTATTTTATACAGAACTGGCTAGGGCTCCAAGATACGCAAAGCTTGATGCCTTGACAGTTGTGAGCTCTGTCAATGAAATGAAAATATAATTGGCGGGAGGGGGGTTCTTAGTGATGCAGAAGTACAGTAGAGGGAAGGGAGATTTACTGTATGGACAGAGACTGAAGAGTGGAGAGAGAGAGAGAGAGAGAGAGAGAGATGGAGAGCAAGGAATAACAATACAGACATCATGTTTACAATGTACATAATCATTGATAAGTATTCCCAGAATCAACCCTTTGAGTGTATCTTACACCCATTTCACTGGCATATTAGTTGTTTTCCTGCCTGGTATTCCCTTCTAAAGCAAAGGGAGGAAGTTCTTATCACATCTATATTTAGTATTAATTTCTTTCAATACATTCATGTAATGCAAGATGACAAATGTTCTACATAAGTTATTTCCTTGTTGAGATAATTCATGTTATCTATTTTAGTGATAGACACAACTTTGTGTTTGCTCTGATTCTCTGTATCACAAGCATGCCTTTTCTCATTTCCAGTCTACATGTAATGAGATTCTTAAAGATATATTTCCGGTAACAAGTTTTACCACTTAGGCACTTGTATATTGTACATGATGTACATGTATAGGAGTAATTCAATTGACATCATGTATGTGTACGTGGATACTTGTGTGGAGCTTTTATACTAATATCGGATTGTAAAATGTACCTTCTTTTTCAACTTTGATTTGTGGCAAAGAGTTTGAATTCTTGTAAACAATAAAAGGATAAATTCATTTTGACAAGAAATGTTTATTTGTGTCCGGTACACATTCAACTCTGTAGCCTTTTATTTAAGTGTAATACGCTTGTGAAATTGGGACATCCGGAAAGCAACACATAATGATGAGTAGAGGAGGTAAGATTGCGTTATTTTTGACAATGAGTTTTGTCAACCTAGTTGTTATTTTGCCAATTTAAGTGCTACAGAATACAGATACTTTTATAAATGTAATGCTTCCTGGGAGAAATTTCAATAGTTCAAACATATTTGTGGCTTACACCCAGTAAATAAGATCGATTGATTGATCTGTAATTGAAAAACAAGTCAGAAAAAATCTTGGAACCAGCGGGATTTGAACCTGCCATCTACTGCTTGCCGGGCAGCGACTCTACCAGTTTACTGGGTGTAAGCCACAAATATGTTTAAACTATAGAATACAGATACTTGTACATTGTGTTTTATCGTCCATGTTTTGCTAGTTGCTACATTATAACTTTCTATTTGTTTCATATTCATGTTGATGAATGTTATGGATTATCTTCAAGTCACAGGCATTTCAGAATCTTCACATTTCTATTTACCGGTAATCATTTACCTGTATTTTTACTACTATGATCTTTATGAAAGGAAGAAATTGAAAATTGAATTGAATTTTATTTAAAATTGAAATGAAATGTAAATTTCTGTTCCAGATTGTGCAAGAAAGAATTGATTTTGAGATTGAGCTATGTTCATAGGGAAATATATGTTTTTGAATAAACATTTTCAATATGGTGAAATACTCTAGTCCTACTTGTAGTGGTTTGAAATTTCATTCTAATGAGGAATTTTATCCTTCTTTAAATTCTATAAATATACTTACATGTATCATCATTGGTTAATTGGAACACCTGTATACATGTGTAGGTGCACAAACATGTACGGTATTCATGATATTTGAATCAGTCACTAAAACTATCCCTTTTCTGTCTTTTTCATTCCAGTTTTTAATGATGGAAAAAGAAAGGAGCTCATCTGCATTGATGGAACAATCCCTGTACTCTACAAAGGTTTGTATGAGGTTCTTCCTGATATATCATCAAATATGTTGGACCTGAAATCTGCATTAGATATACTAGTAGAATCTCATCAGGCAAATTTTTTATTATATTTCAAATATATCAAATTAAATTAATTCAGCAAATAATGAATAACTGGTATAATTTCTTTTCAATTTATTGAAAGTAAAATGCTCTAAATTTGACAGTTCTGACAGAAATTAAATAAAGCGACTATGAGTACCGACCGCGTCTTAAGCCAGCCATCCTCAGTGCGTGTGTTACTCCACTCATACGTCACACGCCCATGGTCAGCAGCAGCACTTTCAAAACAATGGCTACGTACACATACGCCGATTCAGCTACTCAAGGCCCTCAAATTTTATGATTTTTCTCTCTTTTGGTGAATCTTTCATATGTGGCTCCTAGGAGTATATAGGAAGTTATTAATGCCCATTTAGACCAATCAATGTAGTTTGGGTTGAGTTCTCCTTTAACAGTCAGCAATGTGAATGTGGCAAAGGGATGAGGTCTTGATGCCTAGTTGTCTGGCATAGTGCTAAGATAATCTCTTCATGGACTTATAAACAACATCCACCATCTCTCCAACTGCAAACACCCTGTGCAGCACAAACACTTAGTCTTCCTCGCATACAGAAGCATTTTGAAATCTGCGCAGGAAGCCGATAAAGTTCACAAGCAGCGCTGAAAGAGGATCAACTTCACAATTTGCACTAAAAGATGATCAATTTTACAACCTGTCATTTTGCAGTGACCATCTCGGAAGTGCTTCATAATAAGAGATAGATTTTCTTTGTATTTTAATATTTTCAAGCTGCATTATTGCACTTAATTCTCTTCTCTTCCTGACTTATCACATCTCATAATATCTTTGTATTTCAGCCAACACATACAACATCCCGATCTGTGTGTGGATCCTTGAGACGCACCCACACAACCCCCCTCTATGCTTTGTGCGTCCCACCAGTACCATGCTTATCAAGCCCTCTAAGCATGTAGATGCCAATGGAAGGGTCTACCTGCCCTATCTACATGATTGGAAACCAGTAAGTAGAACATTTAAGTGAGAGAAACATGGTTAACCTTGAACCTGCTAACAAAGGTGAAAACTATCTTTAAACCCATTCTCTAATGCTTCATCTGTTACAAACTCAAGCACGGAGCAAATGTCTCTGGAGTAAGTATTGGATTACCTTTGCATCTCTATGATAATGCATCTCTTTCTGTCTTTGTTTCTTCACCAGAACAACTCCGATCTCGTTGGCCTGATCCAGGTCATGACGGTCGTCTTCGGAGAGAGCTCTCCCGTCTATGCCAAATCAGCAGGGCAGCCGCCGCCCCGCCCCTCCTACACCCCGCAAGGAGGTGGGATGCCCCAACACCCCAGTTACCCCCAACCACAGCAATGTAAGTTGAGACCAGAACAATATTTATGCATGTAACTATTATCTTGATTGGCCATTGTCAATTCGCAATCTTGGGTTTCACAATCCTTGCGCCCTCATTCGGTTCAGTTGCAACAGTCAGTAACAAATCAGCTTGCTAGTTATGTATCTCACTCTGATGAGACATCACCGGAAGCCCGCCTCGCTAGCTGCCGCTCGGTCCCCGCACATCATCATTTTGTTTTTCGATCGGGATTAGATCGAGTTGACATTGTCATCATGGTCTTCTATTGTGAAGCTGCAGAATGCTATTCTCTTAAATGGATCACCATTCTTTGCTATATTTTAGTTGACCCGCTGGGGGCTCTCATGGTACGAACGTTGCTACCTCTGCTTTCTGTAACAGGGGCCAGGAGAATAGAAGGAATACTTTTGGGGTTTACGGGGTGTAAAATGTGCATGTACTGGTGTTATATGGACAATTTAAAGTGATACTGCCATTTATTTTCTCTTTTAGTGTATAAACAAGTTAAATAGTTCTGCACAAAATTTACACTCATCACTGGTTTGAAGTTTGGTCTGAAGTCAAAATTTAACAAAGGAAGTGAAAACAAGTTTCTTTTGTTACAGATGACTTATACCTGGCTTCAGGTGTTAACTAAATGAATAGTATTTAACTATTCATGCCCATGAATGTAGGATCATATGTTGGTGAAACAATAAAAAGAAAGGGCAAAAATATGACAGGTTTAGTGATCGATACAACTTGGTTTAACTCTGGGACTTTATGTTAATTGGCAGGCTGAAAAAGTATACAAATCCATAAATTCATCGATGTAATAGTGTTCATGTCTTTCTTTCTCATACTCAAAAACCTTACCGATTTTCTGTGACATGACTGAAAAGCTATATATTCCCTTTCCATCCTAACCGCTCACGATGGCGGTCTCCTGCGTTCTGAAATTTATCTCTTTAGATAAATGAAAAAATATACATATATTTGTTATACTTGTTTGTATGCTTTGTATTATGGTTATTGTATAATATTATTAGACATGATTTGCTATGTATGTAATACTTATGTAAAAATGTATTACCTTGTATTTGTTGTTTGAATGCAGAAATAAAATCACTCAAACAAACAAACAAACTTAGCCTAAAGAATAAGCCCCCATCTACTTCTACCACTTTCTCTGCAGCCTCCTTTATGCCGATGCCGATGCCAGCCCCAGCCAATGCTTCCAGCGGCTACTCCCAGCCCCAGCCCCAGTACCCCCCTTCCACTAACTACCAGCCCCCTGCTGTAGGTGGTAGTGGGTACACCCCTGGCTACCAGGGCTCATCGGGTTACCCCTACCCCTACCAGCCAGGCCAGGCTACTCCAGGCCAGCAGACGCAGAGCCAGCCGTCTTACAGCCCTGCCGCTATGGCTACAGCTAGCACTGCAGGTTAGTTAAAGTTCTATCTATCTAAGTTCTATCTATGTAAATATCTTCTCCCGGTTCGGAGGTTCAGAGATTGCAACATCTCTCCATTTCATTCTATCTTCTGCCATTCTGGTGCACTCTTGCAGTTTTAGTCCACTCCAGCTCTTGACATTCTCTTCCAAATTGTTTCTTGGTCTCCCTCTCTGTCTAGTTCCTTCCACTCTTCCCTCCAATACATCCTTAAAGAGGCTTTGGTGCCTTTTAACATGACCAAAGTCCAATTTAAAGTCAACTTTATTCCATTCCAGTATTTAAGTCAATTTCCGTACAATCTGATGTAAACACAGAAAAGAATTAGGCAGATGCAGATCTATGATGATAATGGAATGATCATTATGATAATTACATTCTTATTAGCATATGAATACTCACCTACATATGTTTGGAATATGAATCATCATTTTGTTGTGCCTAAAAAAAATAAGTACATGATTTCAGAGGTCTATAGAGAAGATATACACATATAAGCAGAGCAGAATTTGTATAAACAAGATATTGTAAAGATTAGGCCCCAGAAGTTCATTTATTATAATTTCCTGCAACGATAGTATTACAGAAAGTGTGTGTGTGTGTGTATTGAGTTTTTACAGACGTGTATCAATCAGATATGGTTATTTACGTCTGGGGACCGACCTTTCAACGTCACCATCCGAAAGACGCGACTCGGATTTGAACCTGCGTCCTCCGCTGAATCAGTTTGTAACTTCTATTATTAGCTGGATTACAGGCGCCACCACAACGCCTAATAATCCACCAGTTAGTAGTCAGACAATCCTTTATTAACATTGTTTGTCTTATGCAGGTTCACATCCACAAGTTAGTAGTCAAAGTAGTTTATCAGACGATGCTATCAAGGCCTCACTCCAGTCAGCTGTAGAGGACAAACTCAAGAGAAAACTCAAGGAGAACTCAGAAAAATTCCAGGTAAAATAATATAAAACAAGCATATTCCCTTAAAAAAATATGTATTTATATTAGAGGGGGGGGGGGGGGGGGGTCCACAAATTATCATGTGATATCGTTTGCGAGGATTGAATTAGCATATTTAATTCATGGGCCCCGTCTTACAAAGAGTTGATACCAATCGCAAGTTATTTACGATTGATATGTACATCAGAGATAGGAGACTGCAAACTTGCGATTGATTTGGATCAATCGTAACTCTTGGTGAGACGGGGCCCAGGTCATTTGTCAATGGTTAGATGACCAACTAGTTAAATGGGTATATTTTGGCGTCATGCCATATCAAAGCAACTGTCATGCACTAGCATGATCTATTGTTTCCTCAGTGCCACGCACACCATGAAAATTTAACCCCTTTGGAAATATACCTCCTACGGTGGTCGAAAGAATGTTATATTATCCTACCAGTCAATATCTGTATAATATCATTTCATTCGACAGCCACTAGAAACTGGTCTGCACCTTATCAGTTTCAAAGAGAAGATAAAGTTCTAGTAAAGATGACAAAATAATTTGGGAACTTTCTCATTCTTCTTTGCCAAAGTGGAAGAGTATCATGGTAAAAATATCAGTTGAACAGCATTGCTCTTGAAAGCCCTCATATTCTGAATAAGACTGGAAATAAGTCAGAGCTTTAGACCAGATTATTTATTCCATGTCCCATGTAATGATATGTGTGCAGTGCATTTTTCTGTTTTTGATTTTCAACAAGATTGAGCTAATTTTGTCTTTGATGATTCCAAAACCTCACAATGTACAATTATTGTATTCATTACCTCATCCAAATATTATTAAAGTGACTCAGTAACATTGCCTCAGATTCTAAAACAAAATTCTGGATTTAGCTCATGCTGCAATCATAATTATAAACCTTCAGGTCAGTCAGGAATCCCATGACTTTTACAACTGATTGTCAAGATATTTATGATTGGAAATTGAAATTCCATTTTTTTGTTTTCCTAATGGTTTTTATAACACTACAGTCTATTGGGAAAAATGAGTATGGTAAAACCGGTCACTCAAAGATTTTTACTGTATTGAAGCATTTCTTGATCATTTTGAAGCGCAATTTTTTTAGGGCTTCAATATTACACCATATCACAGACATTGATAACACGTAGGGCCATGCATCTCAGATTTAACATTGTTAAACGATGCCTTTAATTAGAAAGATTTAACCTGATGTTTTTATGTATGATGTCTTTCAGGCTGAGATGGATTCACTGACGGCTACCAAGGAGAAGCTGAAGAATGGTCAGAGGAAACTAGAAGAAATCATCAACCAGTTGGAGTCAGAAACGGTTTGTAATGCTCTCAGAAGTATTTCACCTCCTGTTTACCACGTTTATAGATTGATGTAAAAGGGCTATAATGCAAATGCTTTTAGATTATCATGACTTTCAATATTAATGCTACAACACACGGAACAAATGATACTTCTAAAGGGCAAGTCGGGCCCATGAGCAAGTTGAAATGAATAAAGAAAGAAAAATCAAACATACAAAACAGTGATAGTTTCATCAAAATCGGATGTAAAATATGAAAGTTTAGCATAATTTCATGAGACAGTGATATGTATCACATCTAGGCGGTATGCAAATTAGCAACTTTTCTGCTCTTGGAATCTAAATCATGGCTTGAATTCTCATGGAATATGTGCAGAACACCCATCATTGTAACTCATTATAGGACATTTTCATACAGTCTGATTTTCAAAACAAAAACAAAATTGACATTTTATAAACAACACAATTATGGGGAAAGTGAGGGGATGACATCATCAACTCGCCATTTGCATACAGCCTGTTTGATATATATCACTGTTTCATGAAATAATATGAAACTTTAAAATTCCACATCCTCTTACTGTTTGTCCGATTTGGATAAACTCTCATTGTTTTTGTTTGTTCAATTTTTCTCTATTTCTTCAATTGAACTTGCAAATGGGTCTGACTTGCTGTTTTGTAATTGGCTTATATGTGCTAGAGAGCTGTCTTAAGCTTAAGTTCAAATACTTAGCCAAAAGATTCTACTTGAATACCAAAGTTGGATAAGTATTTTATCTGAGCTGAAAATTAGTAAAATACTCCTATTTCTGACATACATGTAAGTGTTAAACTGAATACAGACCAAGAGCAGTTGTCATCTGATCAAATGTTAGAGCACCATTAAATCAAATCGTTTCTTGATTTGCTAATTTTTGCTTTATACTGATTCCACAGGCTGAAGTGCGTCAGAACACACAGTTACTGAAACAGAAAGATGAGGAGATAAAGGCAGCGCTTTCTAAGATGGAGGGTCGTGATGAGCTAGACCTGGATGACTCTGTAGTACCGACAGCACCACTGTACAAACAGTGAGTATTCCACCCTCTTGTGTGTTTTACTTAGATGTTTTAAGGCGGGCTAGAGAAGCTTATCATTTTGCTTGAAATTCAAAACGAGTATGAAGTCTAAAGTTTGATATCATTGCACAACTACTCCCCCCCCCCCAACTATCCCCGAAAAAAATTCCCTTGATAAATTATCCCTAGAAACTATCCTTTGGCTAGCTAATGGTTACCTCCTCCCAACAATTACTCCCCTTAGACAATTTTATGATTGTGGAATATTTAGATTCTTCAAGAATTCTGATATGAGTTTCATAAGTCCTTTTGAAATAATTTTGATCTTTTTATTTGTGATCTCTTCCAGATTGCTGAACTTGTTTGCGGAAGAGATGACAATTGAAGACACCTACTATTACTTAATGGAAGGACTCAAGAAGGATGTCATTAGCATAGATGAATTCACAAAGGTGCATACTGGAGATGATGTTTGGATATGAAAGTTGTGTTGGAGGATGAATTGATTGACAGTGATTTGCTTGGTAATGTGGATGACAAAAACTGATGAAGATGATGATGATGATGAATCATGTTTGATAATATGCTTTTTAGCTATATGAATTCTAGTGCTATTTTATGAAGGTGGTGATGGTGGTGATGTTGGATATGTTGATAATTTTTATAATGACGTTGATGATGATGATAACAAATATGTTTATGATGTTGACATTGTTTGACAGTGCTGTGGCTGTGATATTTGATGATGGTATTGATGTATCAGAATAATCTTGCTGCTGCCGGTGGTGATGATGACCAACAATAGATGTTTTTAATGATCACACAGTATTTGCACTGCAGTGATATGATGTTAGTTGATGTTGATGATGGTGGTGGTGGGGATGTCGGTGGTGGTGGTGGTGGTGGTGGTGGTGGTGGTGGGGGGGGGGGGGGGTGGTGGTGGGGGGGGGGGTGGTGATGATGATGATGATGATGATGGTGGTGGTGTTGGTGTTGGTGGTGGTGGTGATGATGATGATGATGATGGTGATGGTGGTGGTGGTGTTGGTGGCAGAGGCGGATGCAATGATGATGAAGATGAGTAATAAATATAAGGTAAATATTGGTAACATGATGGCAGCGATATGAGTTTAGTAGTATTAATGATATCACTAATCCAAACAAATCACCTAACCTAAGCTCATTCCTTATCCTCTCTTCCTTTATTTTTCTGCAGAATGTAAGAGAACTGTCGAGAAAGCAGTTCTTACTACGAGCTCACATACAGAAGGTCAGACAAACAGCAGGCTTGCGAGAGATCACGCCGTTATGAGACCACTGGTCAAACACTTCTAGGAAAAATATGTAAATTCTACGATATATACATGTGTAATATATATTGAACGATTTTAGCTTGAATAATCTTGGGGGTAATTACACACACTAGCTTGAAAAAGCATTGATGATTATCAAGCATTTGGCATACTTGTTTAAGAGTTTGCATATTCTGATATTTTTGATATTCTTATAAATGCAGCTGTAAGCCTGTTCATAAAGATTTGCAAAAAATATAACGTCATGAAAGTTTCTGGTTTTACGTTTATTCTTTAGTAATTCTTAAATATGCATCTAATTCAATTACATGACCTAAATGGTCTATTTAGATTTTTAGTAGCATTTCAAAAGGCAGTCATGTTATTTCCTAGACTTTCTTTGAAATACATATAAATATAGAATGTATTCTATATTGCACACTTTTCAAGCTAATTTTTAATTATAACATTTTACAAGCACATCTGTGACAGATTTTTCATAACTTCAAAATATCTAATTGCCTTTCAATCCGTAGTCCTATGTGAACATCATATTTTGGTTTTTATTGAAATAATTCAAGCAATATACTGCTATTTTGTTGTAAATTTAATTAAAGAAAATTCCTATGACTAAGTGATAATTAGTTCAAAGTATTCTTTTGACAATACATCTCTAATCATATGCATTTTTGCTGCCATTGGTTTACTTTATAATTTAGATGGTGTATATATTTCATTCAACTTAGTGATAAATCTGTACATGACAAATAAAAAAGAGGAACAAATAATACCCCCACACATACCACTTTATTCTCAATGACGGGTGTCGAGACAATTTTTGTTTCCACTTTTTGGATTTGCTGAAGTATAGATAAAATATTCTAGGGTAATTAAAAAAATCAAAAAAAATCTTACTATTCTGAAATTTCAATTATGATTTATTTATTTCACTCATTTGTAAGATTTATTGTTTGCTTGTAGTTGTCATGATAAAGAATTTAACCATTAATACGCATCTCATCCATTAAATGAGCATTGAGGATAACTCTACCTATCACTGGTTAAGGGATAAATGTAGTTTTATATCATGAAATAGTGAAATATTTCTTTCTGCTTGTAAATTATGTATACATGTATCCTTTGATTAAATAAAAACTTATGTAAATTCCACGTAATCGTTTTCAAATTATTTTGTGATAGGCCTAGGTAAGTAAAATGTTGCTGTTTATGATTATGGTTTTATTTGTTGTGCATATCGGAGAGGACCTAAAGCCGTCGGCCGTCTGGTTGCTTAATTACAAGCATTTATGCTTTCTTAGCAGTCAGGTAAAATAACCACCACCATTCATTCATTCGTTCATTCATTCATATATTGATATTTGAACAAGAAGATAGGCTCTTCCGTTGCCAACTGTTATCTTGGGCTACTTTTTAGAAAGCACTACGCTTTTTACAATTTAACCAATCATTAAAGATAAACTTGAGTTCTGGTAATGCGATTGCATTGTGAAAGAAAAGGTGTGGAATGGATCAGAAAATTTGATAAATATAGCATGTAAGTAATGGTGTGTAATGCAAGGTTCTGGAGTCATCAAAATCATCATAAATATTGCAGAGTCTTGGTAAAGTAACAATCACTTACACAAGATGTATATGGGACAACACACATGATGTCGGGGCTAGTACTACCCTGATTTCCTTATCTTTCTATGCTCATTACTCAGCCAGTATACATTTTCTTCCAAAATTGTTTGGCACATAACATTTATTTGTAATCTTGAACATTCAGTGTAAGTTTCGTTAGATTCTGTGAGAATTCATTTTCTTTTTTTACCAGAACTCAAGTTTATCTTTAATGATATGATCGTTTGAAAATAAACTGCACCTCAAGAAAAATCATAATACTCAAGATTGCACTATAGAAGTAAATTTTCACTTTTGAATTAAGCCATGCCCATGGTCACAACCGGTCGTGTACCCCTCTGTGTGCTTTATCCTTGCGTCGGACACACGGGTCTTCATGTTTTGTGAAGGCACGCAGAACACGCGAAGCGCACGCAGGAGGTTTTTTTTTCTTCGACATGTCCAATAATTTCTGCTCGTCAAGTTTTTAATTTGTTTATGAAGAGATGCAACACTTTCAGACGTTGTACTATTTTGCAAACCCTGCAAGGGCTTTTTGCGAGCATTTCCCGGACTTTCCGGCCGAATTCACAAAGGAGGTTTGTCGACAAACCTTGGTTTTCGTACGTCATATGACGCGTTTTACGCGTTTTTTACAAACCTGGTTTGTAAAGAACAAAAGGAGGTTTGGCGAAACAAAAGGAGGTTTGAGCTCAAACCTTGCTTTGTGAATTCGGGCCTCAATGTTTCAAAAATAAGAAAAGTGCTCCAGGCTAAAACATTTTTTATTTCATTTTCACATGCCTTTATGTTTGGTTAAAAATACTGTAGATCATCTCACTCTGTATCTCTTCTCTTCGTAGCAAACGCCTTAACCCTTACTGTACTGGGCTATTTTGAACAGCCTCTGACTGGGGGGGGGGGGGGGGGGGGCCTGGGGGGGCCCCCCCCCCTATGATCTCGGCCGTCGATTGTCCGATGAACACGAAAATTTGCATGTTTGTAGATATTTACGTAAGGAACAAGATGGTATAATAAGTTTTTTCCGAATATGCAAATTTTTGTCGTTAGCCTAATTAATTATGCAAAATGCGCTAATTTTATGCATTTTACAGAAAACGTGTCAAACTCCACTTTTTGAATGTTGAAACTCATTATTCATATGAAACTTCTTTTCTAACACAAAAAAGTTATTTTAATGTAATAAATAATGATAATTTATGCAAATTTTGATGCGATTTTTAATTTTTAATTTTTTTTTTGATGACATGCGCATACTAATTGTTATGTAACGCCTTACAGGTATATCCGATTTCGACGAAAATGGTATCAAAGTGTGCGTAAGACTTGAGGGAAAAAAGTCATGAAACGACAATTCAAAATTCCAAGCGGTTGCGGCGCAATCTCCGAAAATGTCGAGGGGGGGGGGCCTGGGAGGCCCCCCCCCCCAGTACAATAAGGGTTAAGCTTAGGTGCATTTGATATAGGGCCAACCGATATATCAATATTATGTACAATTCAATTTATGTGTGCTGTACAGATTTTTATTTAACCATTATTCAGATTCAAATTCTGATTCACTTAAAAAAAATAAAAAATTCAACTAATCATACAATTGGTGCATAACAACGATAACATTAATTACTTCGGATTAAAATAATGTGTTTCATAAATCTGAGTAAATAGTAAATAAACTTAAATAATTTCACAATGTACACAGGATATATGATACAAAAGCTATGAGGAAACATGATTCTTTGAAAACAGTAGGACAAGCTAAAAAGCTAACCTCGTATATATAGACATTGACTTCGCCACAGAGACAAATTAGGTGATCTGCTGCTTTGATCGAGACATAATACATGTAGAAACTCAATGGCCCGAATTCTCAAAGGAGGTTTGTCTACAAAAACCTCCTTTTGTTTCGCCAAACAGTTTTGTTCTTTACAAACCCGGTTGGTATAAAACGCGTAAAAACGCGTCATATGACGTACGAAAACCAAGGTTTGTCGACAAACCTCCTTTGTGAATTCGGGCCAATTAATGGGTGTGACCAAACGTTAACCCATGACATCAAGGTTATAAATATCGTTCAGAAATGACAATGTATGACGGAAATAATGATGGTAAATAATAGAAATTAACAAAATGGCGCTTGGATGACGTCACGCATCACAAATCTCTACGATATGATCAATAATCATGCATATGGCACATGTCATGAAAATGTCATTGTATTGTCAATAATCATGACATTCATGGGATATTAAGCGAACAAAATCCATACAGAAAGAAAGGACAAAAAGAACGGCAAATCAATAGGCGCCCTGCCACGCTACGCGACTCTCTCTCCCTCTCTCTCTCTCTCTCTCTCTCTAAGTGCCATATCGTTTGACTTTGGCAATCATGCTGTCCACAACCCTCGGCTCCTAGCCTTCTGTATTAGTACCACTTCCAGTTCTTTCACTCCTCTCTCTCTTCCAACAATTTCTGCAGACTGTACATCCAAAGTATCCTCCTTCTTACCCTAGTAACCCTACTCCTTCCTACAATTTTCCCTGTCAAAGCAAGATTCTCTAGGCCTTCTTTACGTGTAATGTGACCCATGAACTTCAACTGCCTAATCAACATTCCACGTATCATTTTCCTTTGCACTCCAGCTCGTGTAAGAACTTTCTCATTATAGCTACGCGACAGATGACCTAATTATAGTAGTTTATGCTTTGTTCATTTGAAATTATATACAATGATAATACATAATTAAAATTAAAAGAATGGTTGAAACAAATTGTGAAGAGCAGGTGGGCAATTTTCACCACCCTCCAAAGAAGAAAACAAAATATGGAGGAACTGCTTGTGTTTTGGGGGAAAAAAAACATGGAATTGAATTCAATAATTACAAAAAAATGTCACGAAAATGCAGTTCTCCTTCTCATCAGCCAAGGAAGTATGAATAGTTACCAGACGAAAAAAGGGGGAAAATATCACAAGAACATGGAAGTTTAGAATTTCATTTTAGGACTCAACCAAGGGCAATTTCAATTACCCTTACTATCAAATTTTGAATAAATATGCAAACATTACATTTAAAATTTTCCGACTTCTATAGGCAAAGACATTGGGTATTGATTTTGTCCTTTGGTTGGTTCGTAGACAGTCTTTGCCAATCGTGCTCATGGATAACTTCGAGAAATTAATTCAAGTTACATGGTGTCTTTGTCCTTTCTACATCCGGGGTTATAACATGTTATAACATCATCGTAGGGCTCCTGGGGAGAACACTATCAATTAAGGTTGAGGCTAACCTTGGTGAAAATGATGATGATATGGATGATTATTGTTATCATGATTATTGCCATTACCATTTTCCAATTGCGATCTTTTTTGGGGGGAGACACACTGTATATATAGTGGTGGTTATTTTACCTGACAGCTAAGAAAGCATAAATGCTTGTTAGTAAGCAACCATACTGCAGACGGTTTTAGGTCCTCTCCGAGGGACCTAATGAGGATTAATGCCTTACCAAAGGGCACTGGCGCATCGACTAATTGGTTTCGTACCCGGGTCACCGGATTACGAGACTTCTGCTCTACCGACTGAGCTATCGCGCCTCCCTAGTAGGAAACTAGTTGAGGTGGTAAACGTAAAGGTCCTCAACAAGGTTCAGGTCATAGACCCTGTCTATTGCTCTAACAGTCTCAGCCACTCTGATCGATGATGGCGTTGGGTTAGATAAAGGGACCTCCACAAATTCTCTTCCTTTTGTAACAAAACTGAGGGTTCCATGATGGGCCTCGATCAATCTCACTTCGCTGCTGTTCCACCAAAAAACATCGTGAAGATCAGTCCCGTCTGATCGTACTGACCGGACCACTCTCCTGTCAACATCTGCAAAAAGCACACGTGTTTCTGTGCCAGAGGGGGCGGAGGTATGGGATATGAAAAAAGGTGAGAAAAAAAGTGATAACGAATAAAGAAGAAACGTCACTTATTCACGCATATCATCATTGTTACTCAAACATACAGAGCAAAAGTGAGTTATTATTATCTTGCCAGGTGGCGTCTTGAAAGGAAATATTTCATCACTTGTCTCAGAATTGCCATTGCCACATCTGCCCTTGCAAGTCTGAAACCAATATGGAATGTCAACACAATGACATTTAGATTGAATTTGTTGAGAACTGTGAAACATTGACACTGAATGCAATTATAAGGGAGTTTACAGATACAATCTGCGCATGGGCAGATAAAGGTCATTTGTACCATAGACCTACCACCAACTGTTGGTGGTAGGTCTATGTTTGTACCAACATGGTAAAACCCACAGAGATGAATACTGGATATGCGCTCATGAAAGTTATGTAACATTATTCATTTATGCACCAACGGTACATTCTATGATACGCAGGTGGAAGTATTCTTTTCAAGAGGTCAAACAAAAGGTATTCATAAAGCACATCTAGGACTTTGGCAGTTATTATTCTAAGATGCTCAAAGTGGTACTTCTCCATGTGTAAAAGATCTGTGGATATTTGGGGTCATTTGT